AGTGAGAGATATCAATGTATTAATTTGCAAGGAGTATGACGATAAATTCCTTTCTTAACTCTTAAAATTTAGAATTTTAAACAGCGAAAAAAAAGTGTGTAAAAGATTGCCTTTTTCATATAAGATAATTTAGTCAGGGTATGCAATTGATCTAAAACTAAATAAATTCATTATTGATTTGATTAGATCGGAGGTCTAAGTTCAAAAATAGAAGAAGCTCTATTTATTTCAAATTTATATTGTTTTCTGTTTTAAAACGTCAAGAATTTTTTCTTGCTTACCCTTCCAATCTTTAAATAATAGTTGAAGAGATAAATGCAATAAAAATTAGAGGGATGCAAAAACAAATTAAGGTATTATGAATAAAAAAATAAATAAATAAAAGGTAGTTCTTTTGTTTCATAGTAGTAAACTAAAATGCAAAAACTGACTTATCTTTTATCCTTCAATGTTTTTAATTTAATCAATCTTCCGACGACTTAAAAATAAGTATTGATCTTTAGTAAGGTGTGAGGAAAGCGGCCTCCTTTGATCTGGAACAAGAGTTAGGTTAATATAACGTTTTCGCTGTAAAGCCGGTTTACAGTTAACGTTGTTACGTCACAAAATGAAAAGAAAAATCACGCGTTGCTTATTCGATTCAGACAGAAAAAAAGGAGGGTTACTAATTAAATTTTAAGGAAAAATAAAAAAAATCATTACTTATAATACTTATCTTAAACCTCATTAGTTTATCCGATCTGATTTATTTTACAAAAAATGTTTTCAGGATAAAGTCAAAACCATTTTGCCAGAAATTTCCTGAACTCTGCTCTCCATATAACAGTCTGGAGGAATTCTGTATAGAAAACAGTCACTTATGTGATCTAAATTATTTGCCTGACAATGAATCGGTGAGTAAACATTCCTGTGCATGTAATTACATTTTAATTTATTAGAAATGACACGAGTCCGAAAAATTAAAAACATTTAAAGGTTGTTTTTCTTTGCAGTTAAAAATATATTTCTCCTTATTAGTAGAACTCACACTGTTCCTTTAAAACTTTAAAAAGAAGTGATGAATATAAAACGTTTTTCCTACTTCTATTTGTAATTTTTTTAAAAAAAATGTACAATAAAATGAAGAGTTATCAGATTTTTAAGCGTTGAATCTCTTACTGAATATTTTTTTTTATTATCAAAATAGGTTCAAAATTGCATTATTTTTTTTTATTGAGTATTTCAAATCTACATATATTTTTGAGTTAAAATATACAGAACTTTTTTGCACGCAGTTTGATTTTTTTTTCAATGCAGAATTAGATCACAAAAAAATATTGTAGAAAATTGAAGGAGAAAAATTTTGAAAATTTATCTTGGTAGAAATATGAAAGGTAAAACGTATGAGTTATAAAGGTAAAACGTATTTACTAATGAAAATAAGTAAAGTACATACATGCGAAACACTCATTATAAATTAAGTTTAGGATGGTTAACTTTGAGACTTACCTTATAATCCTTACATTAAATTTGCGTTTCTTAGCGATTTTTTTTTTGCCAGTTAAAGTGATCTTTTTTTCTTCATTTTTCTACAAAGCAGCACACTCGCGCAAAATGCTGCAAAACAGACTTGTATATTTCCCAGAAATAATATTGTTAATGAATNTAACAAAAAAAAAATCATTACCTATAATATTTATCTTAAACCTCATTAGTTAATCCGATCTGATTTATTTTACAAAAAATGTTTTCAGGATAAAATCGAAACCATTTTGCCAGAAATTTCCTGAACTCTGCTCTCCATATAACAGTCTGGAGGAATTCTGTATAGAAAACAGTCACTTATGTGATCTAAATTATTTGCCTGACAATGAATCGGTGAGTAAACATTCCTGTGCAAGTAATTACATTTCAATTTATTAGAAATGACACGAGCCCGAAGAATTAAAAACATCTAAAGGCTGTTTTTCTTTGCAGTTAAAAATATATTTCTCCTTATTAGTAGGACTCACACTGTTCTCTTAAAACTTTTATAAGTGACGAATATAAAGCGTTTGCCTCTACTACTATTTGTAATTTCTTTTAAATGTACAATAAAATGAAGAGTTATCAGATCTCTAAACGTTGACCCTCTAACTGCATAATTATTTTAAAATCAAAATAGGTTCAAAATTGCGTAATTTTTTTATTGAATATTTCACATCTACACATATTTCTGAGTTAAAATATACAAAACTTATTTTGCACGGCAGTTTGATTCTTTTTTTCAATGCAGAATTAGATCATAAAAAAATATTGTAGAAAATTGAAGGAGAGCAAAATTTTGAAAATTTATCTTTGTAAAAATACAATTTATTTTATGAGTTATAAAGGTAAAATGTATTTACTAATGAAAATATGCAAAATACTTACGAAACACTTATTAGAAGTGAAGTTTGGAATGGTTAACTTTTAGACAAGTCTTACCTCATAATCCATACACCAAATTTGCGTTTCTAAGTGATATTTTAGTTTTATTATTTCTTATTTTTTGCCAGTTTCAATTGCTTTTTTTCTTTTTTCTTAGAGCTACAAAGCAGCACACTCTCTCAAAATGTTGCAAAACATACTCGTATATTTCGCAGAAATAATATCGTTAATGAATGTAATTTAATTACTTTTTATGTTGGTGAATCATAAGCAAGTAATTAAATTTAAAGGTCATTAATTTATGAAAAAAAGAATGACCAGCAATAATGTAAATTTATTGTAATTTTGTGTTTAAAATAATATTTCCTTTCTAGTTCCCTACTGTTAAACCACGTGATCTCCCATCATTATCACGAGAAGAATATCGAGATATGGGAACACAAATTGAAGACATCATCGAGGAATGCTATATAGTTCACAATCAGAAAAAGAGGAACTGCACGTAAAGCCTTTTTTTTTTTTTTTTTTTTTAAATGCATAAATGAATTAACTTTTAAAGTAACTGAGTTATTCATTTAACTCTTAAAGAGAATAATAACAAACTGAATACTCAAACCACCCGGAAACGAATTAGTGTGTTTGGGAAACTAAGAGCTTTTCGAATGAAAATATAAATAAATAAAAAATGGAAATAAATAAAAGAAAGTATAAATTAATGAAAACATGAATATCAGGCATAAGAACACACAATTTCAGAAAAAGGTGAAAAAACACTGGAATTTGAAACTTTTCTTTTAAAAATCAATAAAGCAGAAACAGATGACTTTTTGACTGTTTTAAAATAAATTTTTATCAAGACATTTTATTTATTATTTTTTTTGAATTTGTGAAATTTTTCTTAAACGTTCTGGTAATACTTAACATAATGCATGGTTTTCAGAATCACATTTTAACGTACTCGCTTTGTCGCAATTAGCTTATATACGTGATTTTCATTATCGCATTTTCAACAACTATTGCTATGTATTTCAAAGTGATTTTTAAAATTTTAATTTCTTTTTTTAAAAAATGCTATTATGATCGATAAATTTCAAATCGCGCATTTGAATAATCCTATCGCCTAATCGCTTATTTTTTTTTTATAACCGTCGTTGAACAGCCTACCTAATTCTGGGTTAACGACTACCACTTCAACTCCGTAGCCTTATAATTTTGAATACAATCCAGAAGACAAGGGAACTCCTGGATCAAGTATTGGGAGAAATTTGCCTACATGGAGGACTTTTTGATGGAACTATCCCGCATTTACGTTACATTAAGAGAAAAACCACGAAAAACTTCCACAGTTAGCCTGACGGTAAGGGGACTCTAACCCACGCTCCGCTTACCATTGAGGATTTTTTACGTCAGCACTGTGATCGGTGCGAGCCGAGTGCGGAATTCGCATAGACCAGTCATCGCTGAGATTGGGACCCTGGTCAGCTCATTGGAAGGCGAGCGCTCTATCCCCGGAGCCACCACGGCTCTATGACACACTATTGCCGTAACTATTCAATCTCAAATCCCAGAATTTTATCATAATACGAGAATTTTGCACGTTTTTAAACAAAATGAGTGAAGCTTGGCCATAGTAAACGTTTTACGCGAGAGAAGAATAAAAGTATGTAATGTTTTTGCTCTGTAGTGAAATACTACTTTAAATGCAAAATTCTGGATTTCTCTTCCGTTATATTTAATTTTTTATCTTATAATAGCTGGAGCTGGATAAAAATCACACGAAAATCTGGAAAAAAATTATAAAAGGGAGGAAATTAACAAAAATTTGGAGGATTATCATCCCTGATAAATGAAGTATATTGAATGCAAATGTTGTTGTGGTTTCTAATGCCTCTTGCCAAATACCATCAAGCCTGCTTGGTGAAACCAGACAAATTTACGGTAGAGGGTACGTTTCTCGTTCTTCAGTGGCGGCATCTATGACCAAGAATATGAATTCAGCCGCACACACGTCACAACTCGCTTATAGGGAGCAACCATTCACACATCCATTCATTCATCCACCGATCGTAATTTTGACATGAACCAGAGAACAATCAATCTTCAATTAAGTACCTCTAGAGGCATTCATTCGTTATGGGAACACGGAGGACTTCACGACCAGACAGATTTAACGTATACCAGTCACACAAAGAATCTTCGGCTGACGGGGATCGAACTCATGATCGCTTCGACATGGGCCCATCACTCTATCAACCAGGCTATCCCGGCCACATATAAATTTTTATGGTTCAATATGCCACGGAGTTGAACATTAGAAGTCGTAAACTTTTCGGTTTACGACTTTGGTTTACGTTAATGTGGTCGGCTGTTTTACGACGGATATAAAAAATAAAATAATATATGCCGAAGAGGACGTGATGACTCAGGGGATAGAGCGTTCGCCTTCCAATGGAGTAAACCGAGTTTGAATCCGAGGGATGGCTGGTCGATGCGAATTCCGCATCCGGTTTGCACTGACAGCAGTGCTGACGTAAAATATCCTCAGTGATAGACGGATCATGGGTTAGAATCCCCTTACCCTGAGGCTAACCGTAGGAGATCTCTTACATGTAATGCCGATGTGAGTTAGTTCCATCAATAAGTCCTCCACTAAGGCAAATTTCTCTCAATACTTGGCCCTTGTCCTCTGTATTGGGTTCAAAATTACAAGGCTACGGAGTGGAACATTAGTAGTCGTAAATCCACAAATTGGGTCGGCAGTTCAGCGACGGTTATAAAATAAAAATAAAATATGCAGAAGAAATAGAAAAATTTGTGATTTTTTAATTTTCTTTTGGAGCACTAACACTCGAAAACTAAACTTTAAGTAATTTGTTCACTGTGCTGAAAAAAGTTTTAATTAAGCTACTTACATTCAATTTTAGTAAACTAATTCACAAACTCTGGATTATAATAACATTAAAAAAGACTCTTCAATGTATTAAAATGTGAAATGGCTTATATTTTTCATTCTGTTTTATTACTGATGCTATTATGTTTCGCTTTTTATTTTTTATTTTTTAACAGAGATCCCGTAATTTTGAATGTGTTTGATATCAAGGCCATACCAAGCAATTGTTACACATTTAACGGCTTAAAAGGAAAGAGGACTGGCTCTATGAAAATCAATATAAAGTCTAGTAAGTCATTTGTTATTCAAAGATTTAAGCAATTTTTTTTGAAATTTAGAATGCCTGGTCTATTTTTAAGGATTAAGAAATCCAGAGTGAGCCTTCAAATTTCTATAGGTCCTATAAAATTTGCAAACAATGTTTTTATCTCCTTTGAGAACTTTGAGGGTTAAAGATATTGTGAAATTAATAATAGCATGATATTAAATAATATTTTAAAGTAGTTTTGCTGCCCAACAGATTTGCCTTGGTTTCAGATTTTTAAATTATTCCACCTTTCTTTTTTTATTCAATTTATTTCTCTTATTCTTTTATGTAGTATTATAAATCGATATGTATTTCAGAGTATCCGTTAATAACAAAACAGCATTTTTGTGACATTCAGGCATTTTTTAATAGCCGTCATTCTGTAAGCTAAAAAAATTGATAACTGATATTTTCATTTTCTGAGAAACTATAACATACACGCTATATATTATTGATATTTCTTAGACATTTTAATGATTTTATTGAATTAAATAAAATGACGCGTCAATCCTATATTTATTAAATGTCTGAATAGTATTACGGTCATTGCATTAATTTGGCAGTGGCTTTTAAAATACAATATTTTATCAATAAATAAAAGTTTATACCTATTTTTTAGTAGTAAAATGGAGCCCATTTCAATTTATCTTTTTAGAGTCTTTTTAACGCTTTTTATAAACATAAAAATGTGATAAACTTACCAAGGAGCAACAAAATGTTTTCTTTCTTTTTTTTAAAATTGAATTTAGAGAGATAAATCTAATTTAAACTACGCAATAACATCAAAGATGTCCTAGGCAGAGGCTGAAATATATCACTCTATTATCATCCAATTAATGGGACACCTGCAAGCAAGTGACGTGGGTAAAAAAACCCTAGCAAATGAAGAAATATCAGTAAATTTACATTTGCATTAGATTGAAGTTTATATAAAATAGATCCTGGTTTTGGACAACCTATGCATTTCAGTCTTTTTAGAGGAATTATTAAGGGATTTGGAAAGGAATATATAAATTCAATAAAGTATAAATAAATGAATTTATAACTCACATAAGCAAGCTCCAGTTCTAGTCTGCTAGTCATATCTTCTGCAATTTGCTACACATTTCTTCCTTTTCTCGAGATCTGTTGGAAATATTTACATTAGACAGCCTTCTTTTCAAACTGTTTGCCCAATTCATCCCTGCACAATTACCCATATCAATAATTTTAAGCACGTAAAGGGGCTTCAAACTCTCACGCTAATGTTAACACTATGTAACTAGCGCACTTGTTTGCTCCATAATGGCGGATAATTCAGCTCCCACTATAGAGGAACCTTACAATAAAGGAATCTCAGGAGTAAACTTTTAACAACAATTTTCTTAAAGCCACCAGTCGTCGGTCATGTATCGACGTTTGAAGAGCTAAATTTTTCGAAGCTGTAATTTTTGGTGTGATGTGCGGATGATGCGAAGTCGAACTTTGAATTTTATGCCAATATTGGACTACGACTCACAAGAAGAAGAGACAGGTTGTTTTAGATAAGAGCACATTTATTTACAGGACGAGGACATTTTACATAGGAAGACACATAGGAAAAAAAACTATTTTTAGACATCATTTTTCTTTACACTTATCGCTTGTTTTTCTATATTTTTCATATTTTTTGTATTATGTTGCCAATTTATTACAACTAAAATATTTTTTGCTTTCTTATAAAATATCGCTTAGGCGAACCTGCAACAGAGGAAGTTTTCAAATGCAGCAAGTTTGAAAACAGTTCTATACAGCTGGCTTATCTGAAAGTATTCTTTCCTTCTTTTTTTTTTTCTTTTTATAACTTTGAAAAATCTCTCAAAAGTTTATATTTAACATTTAATTAAAAGGTTTCGCATTTTTTGTTGTTGCCCCAAGCTTAAATAAAAGAGTTTTATACCAAGCAAGTTATTAATATTATGAGTTTTGCCCATTTTTTAAAATTTATTTTTTACTAACTCTTGACTTTGAAAATAATTCAGCGAGCAAAGCGACTTTGAATCACGAAATCTCGATCAACTCTCATCTCGACTTTGGGGGTTGAGTAGGGATCGTATAGTCCTCTGGTATACAAAAATTTAAAATATAAATTGAGTTCAATTTATGTATTTAATTTAAATTATAAATGAGTATGTGATTTTAATGGAAATATATTTACCTTTTCAAAATTGATTATTTACTTAAAAAATATAGTGCAAATTAAATAAATATTTTTTTTAATAAAATTTACTTGTTTATCATGGTATTCGCCATGTATCCTAAAAATACAAACTAACTCTACCGGAAGTCTTGAGGCTCTCTTCTGACGTCATAACATTCTTAACATTCCGGGTTTGCTTGTATATACTCGGAGAACTCAGTTATTCTAAATTTTACTTTTAGACTGTATTTTTGAGAAAAAATGTGTTTTTTATATTTAAAAATATCAGATGAAGATATGAAAAAAAAAGTAGTTTGGGAAATCATCCTATATTGATATGCAATTATCTGACCGTTGAGTTGAGGATTTATTTAGTCTACTTGAAATTTTTCTATCATATTTTTTTGTCTGAATCTTCTGCCGGAAGTTGAAACAACCTCTACAAATACTGCCCTCTACCGTGTAGAACATGAAACACGGTCGGGAATAAGGTGAATTGCCGTGGGATTGTTTTTGATTTATCTTTGTGTATTTAGAATTACTGTATAGGAAATGTTGAACTTTTCGATATACATACTATTTTTTAAACAAGCTAATTTTCAGTTAAGCTATTTTGTTTATTTTTAGAAGTTTTTGTAAGATTGAAGTCTGAAAGGGGTTCAGCTAATCGATTTTATACAGGATCACCGTTTGCTCTACAAGTATGCCTCCATTCCCCATACGGCATACTCAATCCTTTTTACAATGGATTTGCTGTTAAGCCTGGTTACAATTATCTAGTTTTCCCCTCAAAGGTAAAACTTTTAATTTGTTTAAATTTTTTTTCCTTCTTATTCACAAAATGGGTTTCAAGCTGAACCCATAAAATTCGAGGAAAGTTATTCTAAGTGGTAGTAGATAGGGATGGCATCGCATGCCATGCTACGAAGAAAAAAATTGCATCATTGAAATTGAATTCGTAGCTACTAACGCCTTTTTTGAATCTCACAATCACTCTTGTATTTCGGAATATCGCTAAGAGATGTCGCTTATATTACAAATTTATAGTATTAGTGTTACCTTTGCATGTGAAAATAGTTATAATAGTTTTGTGATAAATATGATTTTCACACTCTGATGCCCAAGATTGATTGTAAAATTGTTTTAACGGTATGGTTGGAAAATTATTTTCCAAAATATTTTATACTTAATTTTACAAATAATTTTATGCAGAGATTTATCTTAAACACCTTTAGGCAATAGAGTTAATAAATATGTTATCACAATGTATCTTTTTAAGATAAAACTTGGGTGCATTGCAGGGAAATCTGGAGATCAAATCAATGGACGGGACATCACAGATTTAACCGCCGATAGATCAAGCAAAAAACTGCTTGCTAACAAAAATATTTTACATTTTCGAATTTAAATTAGAAATAAATTAATTTTCAGCAATACAAAAAAATGCTCTTCTTTGGGTCGAAAATTCGAAAAAAAAAATGTTTGTACATTTTAAATCTATCATCAGAAACTTGGTAGAGAAAAAATAATGGATCTAGGTGGTGAGGAGAGGATGCAACTACTAGATGTAAATTTTTGTAGCAAATAAAGTAAAAATTGATAGCTCGGGATATCGTTTATCTTATGCAATTGACTGATGTGCACAAGTTTTGTTTCTCAGAATTATCCTTATTCAGTATTCAAAATATATTAAAGAATCATTATTTTTTTCATTATACGATTTAATTCTAATCGACAAGTCATCGCTGGGATTCGAACCCAGTTCACCCTACTGGAATGCGAGCGCTCTACCTCCTGAGCTAATTAATACAAATTTGTTTAGAAAAACATTAAATTAAGGCAATTTTATTTGATACATTTTACTGAGATATTTTATAATTAGATAAGATGCATTTAATTTGATTTTGCTTTGATGTAGGAAGTTAATGAACGGCTTCCCCCACCCTATGCAAGTATGTGCTACAATTACACCCAAATGTGGGAAACGCGCTCTGGTTTTGGACCACTTTCAAAAAGAGTAAGTTTATTTTGTCTTTAGTCTGTGGATGTATGATTTTTTGAAAGATAACCGTTTTTTACTGGAACGGCCTCTAAACGTTATCGCTCTTTTCTCGGTGACGTTATTAATACGTATCAAAAATTTAATAGCTATATTAACATGGGCTGTTTGTAAAGTTATGAAGTTTTAAAATTATACATATGAAACTAACCATCTAAAATCAAATTCTTTCTCATGAACTAGTTTCATTGTGGACTGATCGTAAGGACATTTTCCAGTAGATCACTGAAGTCAAGCATCACTGGCAGTGGTCAGTGAGCAGGTGGGTGACCACTTCGATCAGAATCAGATCTGGTCTGCGAAGGAATAGATGGTGTGTGGTAACGGTCCTCGTTAAACTGTTCTACCATAAAGTGCTCGATCTCGACAGCAGGTCGTCTGGCTACCAAAGCGAAAGAGGATGCATCTCCTCTGCTGAGGAACAAAGTTGTGATACCTTCGGATTATCCTCAGGGATATTCTTCAGATCGTTGCCAATGGCGTACTGTGTAGTTCGAGTGCGGCGTGAATAAACTACCACTAGTCCCGTGAAATATTTGTTATTTTTAATGACATTTGGACTAGCTCGCCGGCCATTGGTCCTTTGCAAATTAAGTCAGGAAGGTACGCCTTTTGTTTGACGAGTGAACACCGCAAGGGTGAAAGTACGTCATTGCTCAGATCGACCTCATATGGATAGATGGCAGCACTACTCATTCGTGAGGCCATTTCCTTAATTTAGCCATAAATCTGAAGGGGAGTTAAATTTTCTTCAGATCTTCTTACCCACGGTACTCCTCAGGCACCGACCATAGGTGATTTCACAGATTTTACGACCATATATATCGCATGCACTTGGTGAATTTTAACGGAGTCGTGGATCGAACATCGGCCCCTCCGGACCGGAGTTCGATTCTTTAACCATTGGGGATTCCACAGCCCCTATGAAAGCAGGATTTATTCAATCTGCCTAATGTTTTTCTCCAAGGCGCTCTTTGGGTTATCAAAAATGTATACATCCAGAAAATTAAAAAAAGTGAAAAGCTTTTTAAGTAAAAAATATACTTTTTATTAAGTATTTATTAATATTTTAAGTATGTTTGTTTATGTTTTCTAATTTGTATACTAGTTTTCATTTAAAAATGCTTTTTAACATTCATTGATAAATGTTTACATTTCAAAATAGAGATTTGTTATGCCCATATGTTTTATGTACATTAAAATGAGATTCTATTTTTTAATTTTACAATACTCTGTGTAAAATTTTATTTGATTGATAATTTACAGTTAATTCTAATAAAAGCTTTATGTTTATTCATAATTTTTGTAATAGTTAATTTAATGGTGAATGGAAAATTTTTGAATTGTAAAGCATACAATTTTAACGTAATTTGAAACTAGTATCTACTTTAAAATTAGAAATTCCAACTGAATTATGCGAACTGTTCGTTTCTCAAATATTTTATTTGTTACTAAGTTTAATTTTTAGAGCATTATGGTAGTGCGTCTAATATACATTTCTTTTATTTGTTGTAGCTATGCACAGAAGAATGTCATTTAAATGAATCATTGGAGCACTTTGAATGTGTGGATCCTTATTTTATCCGGTACCCTAACATGGCACCTATTTGTCCAAGTAAAACATTCTTTTAATCTAAATTCTCATTTAATATTCTTACATTTTAATAAATTATACATAATTAATGCTTTTTTTAGTTTATATTTTATTTAAGCTTTTTGTTAATTATTCAATTAAGATTCGAGAGTCTTAACATTACAAAGAGAACAAGGTGACAAATTACGTATTGGTTCTAGAAACAAATTAAGTTCTACAGCTTCCGAAAGAATTTGAAATTTCTTTTCTTTGATGGAGAAATTTTAAGTGCTAAATAACACCCAACTATTCCATCAGTCTACATTAACACCATACTTATACTAGTTCCTCTATTCCCAACTTATTATTATAACTTTAAATACCCAAATTTTTTTTAATGAAATATAGAGCTATTTCTACTTTTGCAGCCCAGGCTATGTGCTATAGCTCCTACTGTTTTACATATTATTAGTTTTTTTATTTCAGAAATTTTCATCTGAAGTTTAATTTTAATACCACCTAATTTTAACAAGTCAATCGTAATCTATTATTTCTTTAGTTTATAGTTTATTGTAGGTTTGCTATAAATTATACAATGAAGATTTGGAAGGCTTTACATGACAAAACAAAAACAAAATTGTCCAATAATGTAGTGGTTTTGGAGTCTATTTAAGTTCTAGAGTTCCCCCCAAAATTGACTTCTTTTTGACAGAGGAATTTTGAGAGTGATAAATAACACAATTATTCCAGCTGTCCGCATTCCCACAATGATAATTCTAGCCTTTCTCTTCCCAACTATTATTATTGCCATAAATAAATTTTTTTAAAAAAGAAATATAGAGATATTTGCAGCCCAGGCTGCTATAGCCCATACTGTTTCCAATATTCTTTTTTTTTTTTTCAACTACAGAAATTTTTATTTTTACTTTTGCAGCCCAGACTGCTATAGCGTCCACTTTGGAAAACTTTTGCGTATGTGTGCTATAACTTCTCTACTACATTATTGCGATCGAAAATCCTAAATATGACATCAAAGAATAACAAACTTGCTTTGTGATGCATTAATAGGCTGCTTACACACTGTTAGAATCTTCATTCTAAAATTATGGTAAAATAACCGGCAGTAGTCTGGAACGGTAAAAATTCTGGCAGATTACGGTAAAGAACATTTTTTATCATTACGGTTTTTTAACCATTTATAACAAATATGGTTTCAAAACCGTAATTTTTTTTTATCTGGACGTTGGAAATAGTTCAGAAGACTTATGGTGCTACCATTGATGGTGAATGAGAGCATCGTATTCCTATAGTCAAGGGTCACAAATTGGGGAGTGCAGGACACTGAAAATACTTTATGTGTTAGAAATATTGTGGTGTCAACACTAGGACACTGCCCCCACCCTTGCGGTCATGAGATTGACAGTCCAGCCCTCACGGCTATAATATGTACCCATGTGTAAGGAACTAACTGTGATAAAATTATGGTTGTTCAGCAGCATTATCTGAAAGCAGTTAATAAGAGGTTTTTGTCACAGGCAACAGTTTGAATACCATCTTATTTATGTTTATTTGATTGTTTTGTTTGAATACGGTAAAATAGCAATAAAATTGTTATTTAACCATTTTTTCCGAGAAATTTAGATCAATGCACATTCAAAAGCTACAGGTTTAACCCAAACAATGGATAAGCACATTACTATAACTAGATTCCAAATTTATGATTATAATTGTATCGATTATGCAGTTCATATAGGTAGAAATAACACTAATAATAATGACTTTTGCCAATATTTTATAGTTTTTGTGTATTATAAATCAATTATTTTGAGACAATTCTCTTTTATTCACTTTTTTTCTCTCTTAATTCTCTTTTGAGACAATTCTCTTTTATTATATTCGCATGCAGTCTAATTTTGGAATGTTTAAAATACCATGCTTATATTTTTATTTTGAACATAGTTTATGAATATTTTATACTGTGGAAGTGTTTGGTTAATAGAAGAGAATGATAATTATTTGAATAACAAAGATTATATGTTCCTTTTAGCTAAACAGGAAAGGGATATATATTCGGAATGCAAGGAATTATGTCCTACAACTTGTAAGTAAGTATCAACATTCGGCGATTTAATAACCAAGAGTTATCAAGTAGTCTAAATTTTTTGAAAATTATATATGAATCACAAATACCAGAAAAATTACCCACTCAGAATATAACGTTTTACGCTGAATAGAAGGAAATCGTATCCCAATCGATATATCTAATAATAAAGATGTTGTTAAAGTTTTATATAGATACAGGTCAAATTCTGACTCCTACATATATATGCGTTTGACATTGCAATCCAGACAAGTGAGGTATTTATTCCAGTGTATATTTTAAGCAATCGATGGAAAAATTTCAGTTCAAAAAGCACTTAAAAGTTACAAAAAAAAAATTGCCTACAAAAAATAAAGTATATACTTTCTAGCGTTTACCTGCTTAAAGCTTTTCTAATATGTTCAAGAAACAAGCTGTAAGTTATAGTTTTATAAAATGCAAGAATTTTCTTTTTCAATACAGTGATGATTTTACAGTAAATGCATTTTGTATCCACCCGTAACTATAATTTTAAATTTAACGAGCGTGATACTGATACTTGAACATTAAAGTTAACTTTAATTTTCATAAAAGTAAAATATGTTTTGTAGTTTTATATTTCAAGAGATTATAGCGCTTATAACTAATAATATTTGGATTGTTGCCAGGAAACACGATTCTTTTTTAAATTTGTATATCTGGTTACATCTGAAATGCAAACTTTTTAATATCTATTTATATGCTTATGTATACGTGTGTATGCATGTACCGCATAAGAATCCGCAATTCCGCACCAAATTCGGCATACCTACGTTCAAAAAAATGGTGGAGCTAACTGCCTAGTACTTAAAAATTCCCTTTGACTACCAGTTCACGCGCTACATCTCAAAGAAGGAGTTTTTCATAAGATTTCTTAAATATTTTATAATCAGCTGAGGTGGCTCAGGGGATAGAGTGTTCGTCTTTCAATGAGGTGAACCGGGTTCGAATTCCAGTTGATACGAATGCCACATCCGGCTTGCACCGACCACAGTGCTGACGTGAAATATCCTCAGTTGTAGACGAATCATGGGTTAGAGTCTCCTTGCCGTCAAGCTAACCGTAGGAGGGGGGGTTCTCGTGGTCTCCCTCTCCATGTAACGCAAATGCTGGTTAGCTCCATCAAAAAGTCCTCCACGATGGCAAAATTTCCCAATACTTGGTCCAGGAGTTCCCAATACTTGTCTTCTGGATTGAATGCAAAATTGCAACGTTACGGAGGTACGTTAGTAGTCGTAAACCCAAAACTGGGTGGGCTGTTCAATTGGGTAGGACGGTTATAAAATAAAATATTTTATAATATGAGAGAAGTGGTAGCATGTTGCTATAATTAATCAAAAATTAGTTCTATCGCATTTTTTTCGAATTTTTTATCTTTGATTTCAAATGTTGGGTCGTTACAAGTACAAATCTGCGTTAATAATTTCGCTAAGTAGGGTAATGATGTCCCCGAATTCGGATTTCAAAAGTCATATGAAGCCAAGTGTTCATTATAAAGCGTGTTTATTATGAAGCGTATATTATTAAAGCTTGTCTCTAAAAACTTAAATAATGGAAACTTAACAAGAACTATAAAAATTGAAGTTATCTAATAAGCCATCGAAAAATTGTGGTACGAAGAACAGAAATAAAGAATGATTTTAAAATATATAACCGCAAAAATAATAATTTATAGGTAAATTTTATTTCAAAAATTCAACTGTTTGACTTCGGTAAGAAAAAGAAGTACGATACAAATGCATTTGTAATGTTTGCTTAAGATGCGTTGTCGTCTGATCAGACTATGATGGTTTTTATTCAGCAACACGCTATCACTGTTTTTCTGCTTCAGTTGCCAAAGCACGTTATGAAAAAAAGTCATTATGCATTTTTCAATATAATTTTTATGTAGTTGTTGAAAATAATGGTTAGTTTCCGTAAAATGAAAAAAAGATCAGAAAGGAAAAACTGAATAGCAAAAACTGGACTGTGTCAAAATCCCGGTATAAATTTTACTGTGAGTTATTAGAGCACTGATGCATTAGCCAGCTGATTCGATTACCTTCACAGTTGCCACTTATTTCGGTTGGACATAGCGTCTAAAGGACAATTCCAATGGTCATAGAACACGATCTGGTGGGAGGTCTTCCCGGCACTTGCCCGCTCTTTTTGTTGCAAAAGAGGGAGCAACAATCAACAGAAGAGCAATGTTTTGTGCTTCAAGACTCTCTGAGTCTATATCACTGAAAGTCAGGAAAAGTTTGCCAAATATACTGTATACCTCGTGCATTTTTTGTGCTATGACTGCTTGTGCTCTAGTTTCAGGTCAACTCTACGAGATTTGAAAATAAAGTAAAGTAATCCATTCTAATCCAACCCAGTAAGGCATCGTGCAATCGTCTTATATGGTAACACATTCTCACCTAAAGCTTCAGATAGTCCTTGATTACAATGAGGTCTATTCTTGCCACGGGAATTTAATCCACGATCACTGTTCACTTTTTGCAAACGTAATTTCTAGCAGTAGGAACAGACTGACCATTTCAATGTTCTACAGCTCTCTGGGTTAAGTTGCCATTATTTTATCTACATTTCTCAAATGATAATAAGTTGTTATATCGTCGAACACAGTAAGCTTTAATCGAAAAACTAATTGTTTAAAGTTTATATTTTTCAATTCTTTTATGTTATATTGGCGTATTGTTATACCTTATTTGAGATAGTTTAATAAAATTGAAATTAGGTTTTCAATTTTGTAAGCATTTTTATTTATTTTAATGAATACTGTACTTTTTTTATTCGATTTTGTGCAAATATTGGAGTTTGACTTTGTAAAATTACACAGTTTAATACGATGGAAAAGTTCTTACACTTTCATATTGCAATTTTTCTCGATCATAACTAAAAAAACAACAGTAAATTATTATTTAAAATTATTTATGAGTTTTGAAATTGCCTCTAAACAGTTTTCAACTGATGTAAACTGACACTGAGAAGAGGTGAAAAATGTAAAAATAATTTCATGAGAGTATAGAATTTTCGAACTCGATCCTAATTAAAATATCAGTATTTTTTACAATGTTATCCTAATCAACACGCTTATATTTTGCAACATTTCATGTTGTGCTAACATTTTTTTGGTAAACGAATAACTTAGTTTATTAGCGGGAGAGAGAAGTTACAACATGAATTTAGGGGTTAGCGGGCAGCTGCGAGTGGAGGGTGTATTCTCCTAAGCATTTATTGTTTCTTGCTGAAAAAAAATACGTGTTTATTCATTTTTCTGTTTTAATCTCTTATGTTTTTATTGCAGCTCAGAAGAAATTTCGGTAGATGTGCAAGAGTTACCTCTTCCCAGATATGAGGTAGGCATTCGCAACTTTATTTAACCATTTTTCTTGAAATTTTGTATTATCTTTTTTTAAGAATTTAAATGTTTTAATTTTTACAGAATGCAAAAACGAGAGATGAATTGTAAGTAGCTCTCTTTTTTTTATCATTGTTAATATTTTAACTTATATATCTTAAATACATTTATTGAACCTTGAACCATCTCGTAATGTTTATAATTCATCCAGTATTTCATATTACTTTAGTTCCAGAACTGCAATATCATTTAGTTTCAACAGGATGATACTTGTCAGATATAAATACTCTCCAAAATATGAGGTAATTGTTTTTTTAATACCTAATTCGAATTTAGTATATGTTTTCGAATTTTTATCCATGTACAGGGTGTTGAAAATCAATGTTTATAACTGTAATGTGTAAAAACATTTTGTATTAAATTTTACCCCTTTTTTTCGATTTGCGTATCCTACTATACCGTTTGGATTTGAGGAAATTTTTCTTTCTCAGACAGCTGTTAAATGAGAGCCATAAGCGTAACACTTATTTACTAATGACTAAAAAACACTTTTCAAGAAACTTACGAGATGTTACTTTATATGTTTTTCCATAATGTGTTTTTTGTTAATTTTTCTTTGGTTCTGGACTGTGGCATGTTATATGAATTCACACTCTTTCTAGTTGGGCAATCGTAAATTATAAAAGGAATTAAATGATCCATAACTTTCATAAACAGTACAAACCTTCAAATAAGCATACTTCATTTGTTTTACATTTTGATTTGTTTTTTGAGCAAATAAATTTTTTGAGCTTTTTTAAACAAATAAGTTTTTTTATAAGATACAATTGATATCTTAATGAGAATTTCAGGAAAATTATTGTACACAGAACTCAAAATCATAGAATTGTAAAGCTGTGGTGTTAATCTATTCTTTATAGTGTTTATGCTTAGTTGTTGATTACAGTATATAATATTAACACTTATCATAAATATTTTTCACCATTATTTGTGTATAAATTGTTAGATACATATTCAAATACAATTTTGAAGAAAAGTCAAGTAAATAAGAGAAAAAGTTTTTACTTTATAACTATGCGACTTTAAATTCTAAATGCAATGATGCTTCCAATGAGATTAGCACATAGTTTTTTTAGAACACATCAATATTTCTTTAAAAAAATGCTTATTGGATGCGAAATATTTCTATTAAATTTTAAAAGCCTCTTGCTAAGTTTTAATATAAGAGAGAAACTTTTTACTCGAGTTCGAAATACTTCTATTAAATTTTAAAAGTCTCTTGCTAAGTTTTAATATAAGAGAGAAACTTTTTACTCGAGTACGAAATGAGTAGTCTTTTTATTTAAGAAGATATATTTAAATATTAAGAGAAAGNTCGAGTTAAAGGGAGTAAAATTCGAGTAATCGAGAATAATTAACATGAAATTGAAGATAAAAGGATCGGGACCACTTAAAAAAATCGAGTTATAGTAATATTCGAGTTATCGTACTTCGAGTTATAGCGAATTGACTGTACTTCTATTAAACTTTAAAACTCTCTTGCCAAGTTTTATACAAGAGAGAAACTTCTTACTCGTGTTTGAAATGAGTAGTCTTTTTATTTAAGAAGATATATTTAAATATTAAGAGAAAGCTATTTTATTTTGTTTGCACTAATGACTAGAATTTTTTTTAAACACGGACACTGCATAAACGTTTTAGAAAGGTTTAATAAATTAATAACGCATTGCAACTTCTTTAAATTTTCATAAATGTTTCTGTAACATTATCTTAACGATATATTGTTCTGCTATTATTGTAAAGCAAATACATCGTTGTCCATATGTTTTAATTTAGTTGTGTTTGTAAGTTTTTGAGAATTGGTAATAGGTAACTTAGAAATGCTAAAAGAGAACTTTATAATAATAATAGATAATTTCATGTTTATGTTACAAACAGTTAAGTGCTATAAAATGACTAAAACGTATTTGTAATGCTTATGAGACTTTTCAGAGCCGCAAAAGAAATTTTTTAAGCGGTTGAAGAACTGCTGATGTTTCGACTTTTTTCCGTAACAGATGGCGTCATAGAATCTTTCTAGTCAAGAAAAATTGTTTTGTTATTTTTTTTTTGTTTTCCGTTCAGTTAGTTCGTAAGGTAATATGGCCGATGAAACATCAATCACTCATATACTATTCAATTAAATTTAGAATCTTAATATTATTCAATAAATAATGCACTTATATTCAATTAAATAAATGATTAATAAAATTCAGCAAGATTTTGAAAATTACTTTCTTCTGCTAAGTTTTATAGTTTCGTTTGGTCACATTGTGTTTGTTTCTTTAATTTTTATGATTTTTCTATTATTTGATTTTTATGTTTATTAAACGTTCACTTCAGCTGACATTTGTATGTTTAAGAGACGTAATAAAAATATTTTTGAAATATTTATAAACATTCTTCTATGTTTTTAATGTTAGAAAAAGTCATTATGTTTCAGTAATATTGCTATTTCTAAAATTGCTAAATAATGCTATTTCTTTCCCAGGAAGCAATAAATTCTAAATAACCCTTATGGAAACAATGCATTTATTATAAACACATTCATATAAAATAATCAATGAATTTTTTTTTAAAGATATTATTGCCATTTAAAATAATTTTTGATCATATTTATCATCCATTTTAAACGGTTTTCTGGAATATTTGCTCGTTTGCTTGACAGGGGACAATAAACTACATCACAACCTATTTCAAAATGGTTGCCAAGTTTTGTGGATAACCAGTGCAAAACAAAACACAATAAATAAATAAATAAAAATAAATAAGATAATAAATAAGAAAAATAAAAAAAATAAGAAGATTAAATAAAACTAATTTACAGAGATGGGCAAAATTAAAAGGTAAAATTCGTAACTATTTCCGAGCAATATATATTCCCTTAATTTATTTCAAGTACAATATAGCGAATTAGTGGCACACTGGCACCTACGATAACAAAGTTAAAACAAAACACGAAAAATAAATAAAAATAAATAAACAAGTAAAAATGAATAAATAAATAAAAATTGATAAATAAATAAATAAAAATAAAGAACAAAAAAAATAATAAGATTAAATTGATCTAAATTTACAGAGATAGACAAACTTAAAGGGTAAAATTCGTTACTATTTCCGAGAAATATATATCCTCCTAATTTATTTCAAGTACAAGTACCAAGGAGTGGTACTCTGGCACCTACAATAGCCAAGATAAAACAAACTGCAATAAATAAATAAATAAGAATTATAAGTTATTATCTATAAAAATTATAAATAAATTAAAGTACAAGCAGTGGCACTCGGGCATCTACAATAACCAAGATAAATAAATAAGTAAAAATAAATAAATAAAAATAAATTAATAAAAATTAAGAATAAAAATATTTTTAAAAATAATAAGATTAAATTAAGCTAAATTTTCAGATGTGGGCAATCTTAAACAGTTAAATTCGTAAATGTTTCCGGGCAATATAAATTCTTTTAATTTCTTTCAAGTATAAGTACTAACTAGTGGCACTCTGGCACCTACGCAATTTCAGCTTACGAGCAGGTTCCGATACAGGAATGTCCCTTTTATGAATAAAAGTCACAGATTGAAATATTATGAGCGTTCTTAACTATAATACCCATTAATATAATAATAAAAATAATCGATAAATACCCATTTTTCCTTAATAATTTTTATAAAAAAGGTGCTAGAAAGTTTTATTTATATAAATTTTATACTTTATGTATCACATTATCATTTCTTTTCTTTTTTTTAGAGTGTGGCTCTATTTTCTTACATTGGAGGATATTTAGGTTTATGGCTAGGAATATCTTTGGTTGCTATTTGTGATATCATAGAAACAACGCTCCTGATTGGACAATGGATAATTGAAAAACTTAAACGTCATAAACGAATTAAAAGCAAAGTTCATGCCCAAAATTCAATGTTTGAGCCTCCGGAAAAATTTAGTAAACATCAAAACGAAATGTGGATTTTATAACTTATGCACTAATTATTAAAAGTGTAGTAAAAAATAGAATTTTGTTAATACTCTTAGATATCGAATAAACTTAGACATTGAAATATTAAAAACGAATTGCTTATTTCAGCTCATCAAATCACCCAACTATGGCCAAGCACCTACCTCCAATTTTTAGAATTTTTTTTTTTTATGGCTATGGCAGTAACGTTATTGCCAGTTGGATTGCTCTTGAGTTGATACCTTGAGTTGAATCGAACTCACGACCTCCAAGTCTCCACCAGTGATGTGAGCGACACATTAACCTGATTTTTATTTATTATATTGTTTTTAATAGACACTGTTTAAACGTTTATGATAATGCTTATAATTTTTTGCGAAATTTATAGCTTTACTTTTTCATATGACGTTTTAGAATTGGTAGGCATTTTTATGAAACTCAAAAATAACAAAATCAACGAAGATACTGAATAATATAAAAAGTAGGAATTGGGGCAGAAAAAAAACTACGAAAAAACAGGAAAGCAAAAGTATGAAAAATTTCAAAAACCTTCATAAATCTGAAATATTTGAATTATTGAAATGGATTCTTACAATTGGGTATACTATAGCCTACGTCACAGATCGTGTTATTCCTACTAAATTTAACTAGTAAACAGCATTTTCTCCGAACCTGATTTCTAGCAACAAGTAAAAGCATCAAACGAAAGTGTCTTGTTTATAAGTCGCTACTCGCCAGGTTGGAATTGTATTAGTCTAGTTCCTTTGGAAATAATTTATATTGTTGCTTTACCGAAGTTTATGAATTTAGTAAACATATTTAAAACTCAGTTTATTAATTAAACTAAAAGGTAAATGTTATTCCTAGTAAGTGGAAGTAGTTGTGCTTTTTTCATATTATACCCAATTGCACTTAATAAAATGTAACTAGTTTAAAATTTTAGGGTTAGGGGAAAGAATAGAGTACACCTTGATTTCGGGTCCTGTACCATTTAGCCTTTACTGTATTTGAAATCGTCTATTTTCCTACTATTTCGATTTCGATATCTTATTAATTAAAAATATAATTTCATAATCATTTTCCCTGTTTTGCAAGAAAATAAAAAAATTGTAAAAGTAAGAGGGAACCCGATTCGCGATCGCAACGAACTATAGGAGGCGTTGTTGTATGAGACGCATGCCTGCGATTTCTATATGAACCGTCATTCAGTTACTCTGGAGACGTCTTTAATGTAGCACGCAGCATTGTAACGTTCCTTCTTTAATGTGGCTTATTAAATTTAAAAAAGAAAAATGTTTGATATTCTTTCTTATACAACCGAAAACAAGATGGTATCTCTTTTTTTTTTAAAGAAGGAACATCCAAAACACATCTGAAAAATATTTGTAAATAAACAGAAAAAAATATGTATCTTCTTATTAGAGTTAAAACCTAATGCCTGAGAAATAGTTTTACTAAATTTAATGATATAACCTGAAAGGCCTATTTAAACTTTACATTCCATAGTTTTAAGAATCATATTACTTCAAACATTAAAATAAGCAAAAAGTATACATAAGCTTCATAATTTTATGTAATTTAATTTTGTAAATAAAGTTTTTTGACAAGTAATTTTATCAAAAAATTTTAAGTTTTAATAAAAATCATTATTTAGAAACTGAAAAACGTAAAGTAAAGAATGCTTACGATACAAAACAAAAAAAAAAAAATTTCTAAAAATTCCTTATATTAAAATAAACAACTTTCATGTTTTTTCTTTTTTGATTCATAATCGGACGTAGAAAACCATTCTATAGAAAACTATCATCAAGAAAAAAACTACTTAAAAGTAAAATTTTTTATTTTATAAAAATTAACACTTACCTGCTTTATAAATCAGAAGAATTCCAAAATGATTTGTTCTTCGATTTTTGTTACCATTTTTTAGTGCTACGAAAATGCGTCTTTGGGATTTGCCAAAAATAGAACAAGATGCAATTTTATTTTTTCTGGAGCGAAATATTTTGCCCATTGTCCACCGAAATCCGATAAACTACTTTGATTTTAAATAAAGTGTTTCGTTTTATGATTTGTCACAAAAATTTTAGGTGTAGATTGGCGGCACTTAAAAACAGCCAAATCTGTAGCTGCTGTGGCGTTAATACATAAGTACCGAATTTTTATTCATACTTTTCTGAATCATATTACTTGAAACATTAGAATATGCAAGAAGTATACATAAACACATAATGTTATACCATTTATGTTTTCAAAAAAAGTATTTTGACAACAATTTTTATCAAAAAATTATAAACTATAAAACGGAAAATAAAGAATTCTTAGGATAAAAAACGATTTTAAGAATTCTTTACATTGAAATAAAAACTTTCATATAGTTTCTTTTCTTATAGTTCTTAATCAGACGTAAGAAACCATTCTGTAGAGAACTATCATCAAATAAGAAAAAAAAGTTTTACAAACAAATTTTTTACTATAAAAATCATAACACTTACCTTCTTTATAAATCCGTAGAGTTCCAAATGAAATGTTCTTCGTTTGAAAGTTTTATTTTCAAATAATGTGTGCATAGATTATCCCTTTATTACTTTTAGATAACATACCACACATCAAAATTTTATAATTGTAAGATCTCGATATGAATTTGAATATGTAGCTTAAAAACAGAACAGCTGAATTCTAGTTGAAATTATCTATTCTTTCAAAACTAAGAAATACTTACCAAGAAAACGATAAAAAATTTATTAATCATCAGCACAAATGACACTATTTCAAGTAATTTGGTTGATTCTTTATTGTTGTTTTCCGAATTATATAGATACAGAAATATATACTGTTCTATAACAAAGAAGAATTCTATAACTATTGCAGTTCTTGACGTTCTGAATTCACATTTCTTTATTGGAATGACGAAAGCAATGTTGACTTCATTTTAATTTGTAATGAATTGAAGACAGAAAAAATTATTTTACCGTAATATACACATCTGTAACAGCAAGTGATCATGAAATTGTAAGTTATGTTGTTGGTAATAGAAAGGTAAAAATTATTGAGAAATTGTTCTTCAAATGCTTGGCGTGTTCTGCTTCAATGTTTGGCATGTTCTGGTTAGTTTTTTCAAGTTCTTCAGCTGTTCCTTAGGGACATTTTGATTTTTATTTGCTGCTAAGAAAATGGCATCCGTCATGGCAGATGATTTTGATGGAACTAAATGAAAACGTGATAAATTAATGTCTGATATTTACAGGCTCCCGATAGAGGGCGTACTCGAGCGTTGCGATCGCGAATTGTAAATTATTAAAAGTTATAGAATCAGGATTTTAATATTTTTGTCTTTCTTATCCATATGATTTCAGAAAATTTTGATTTAAAAATTGAAATTAAAATTTCCAAACTCCATTAAAAATAGTATCATTCATCCAATAAAAGCATATAGAATTTAAAGCCATTTTTAATGGAGTACTTGTACTTCAAGAAGAAGAAAGCCTTCCATACATGTGACCTACGTCAGCTAATCCTTATCAGCAAAATGGCATATTAATGTTGAGCTAAATTTTTCTACATAAATTACAATGTTAATTAACGATAAGTCAACTAAATACAGAGCCGTATCACATCGAATTAGTTGAAATATAATTCTTTCTCGTCTACGTCTTTTACTTAACTTAGATTTATTATTTGTTTATGTATTTTATAGTAACCGTGATATATTTTTGTTTTGTGTACCTGGCAACTCCGATACATAATTAATTTGTTTATGTTCCACATGGCTTGATACCTACCTTTGCGTTAAGTCTCGGTGTAAATATATAATTAAAAAATTGAAATCTTTGAGAAAGAATCTTTGTGTAAGAATATAGAATGTGTCACCTAAGAGAATCGATACTTGACAGGCTTGGCTTACTCGAAGTAGAAAGAACAGTAGCTAACGTAAATAAATGCCAATCAGGATCAAAATACCCACACTACGTCACTTGTACTGTTTGTCTAAGATAGGTACTCTGCCAGACATTCGTCTGGAGCTGTGGCGGTGACTATGGTAACGAGGTATGATTATTTCAAGTAGGGGTGTGGAGTTCCTCTTTAGGACTGGTTTCGGCGAGAGAAAAGAAGACCTCTTCATCGAAGCTACCCTCCCTAAAATGCCCTCTTCTTGTTTCCATAGCACCAGACTACCGTAGACTTTGTGGCGGGCAGAGTACCTATCTTAGACAAACAGTAGGTGTCCGATTTATATACTGAGAAAAACCTTCTTTCTTTCCTTAAATAATATTAATGCAAACCTTTATCTTCGAAGACCCAACGTCCAACAAATTGGACAACTTTGGCAAAATTTTATCCCTAAAAAGTATTTTTGAGGTATGATTTTCAGTTTTTGTGCTTTTACAAAGCGATTGTCTACGTAAAAATATAATTGTATTTATTCTCCTTGGTCGGAGTTCTTATTTGCAATAAAAAGTTATAAAACAGGTAAGAAATTCAATTCAAGTAATATTTTTATGTCATATAAATACGTTATTATTTGAATGTATTGGATTTTGTTTCGTTCCTGGAAAAATTTACACTATTAAAAAGTCCCACATCACGCAAAAATCTTAAAGTTAATATTTATCTTTTTTTTTTTACCTAAAAATCAAAAACAACTAAAAAGGTTAATTGAGTTTACGTAGTTGAATTTAAAAAAAATATTATATCGTATTTATGAGTTTACTTTCTTCTAAGTAAAAACCGCATTTTCTGCTATTATTTAAAGCTCGGGTCTCAGAGGGATAAAATATCAATTCATCAGATCTTTCTTCCAACCTGTAAGATTTATTTAAAAAAATGTGAGATTACTCCAATTTAGCTGGTAATTTTAAAAAGGAAGAGGCATTTTTTAATTTTTTGTTTAAAAAATTAAACATTCTTATTACTATTTAAAAAATTCAGCCGCAATTTGAAGTCTACTTGTCCATAAAACTTAAAATCAACGGTGCACTTCTTCATTTGGTACATAAAATTAAAAAAATAATAATTTAAACTT